CCCTCGGGATGAATGCGGTAGGACCATGTTGAAACCGAGTGCCAATCAATAGATTGCCAAAGGCTACCAAACTTTGAAGTCTTAGTTTAAGTGCAGTGAGTGACTAGTCAGTGAACACCAATTGTTAACTGCTTGTTACCGTCACATACTGCAAATGCCAAAATGTGCTGTCGGTCGCCTTTATGTGTAATATTATTGGAACCAAGGTAGTCCTAATCCCATACAATTAAAAGCTTCTGAGATGTAAATGCTTTAGTCAACAAGTTTGGTCGGTGCTAAACTTCAAAGGCAGAAAACAGTACCGCGTAAACTTTCGGCATAACAAGGGCGTGCACCAGAGATTGATAATGTCCCAAGGATTGTTTGTTCAACATTCGGTTTTGCTAAAGAGACAACTTGAGACTCCGCTACTGTATCTCTTCTGCAGCAGATTGGTCTTCCGACTGTTAGCGAGCCCACCCTCTTCTCTATTTTGGCACCACTTATCCTATTTGAATATTGCGACAAAGTATACAAAGCACACAAACAAATTCATGGTAATGTTATGACAAACCGATTTGTTGAAAACGTAAAAATCCTGCAAGTATCACAGATCGGACAAACGGTAAATTTCAACCATACAAACAGTGAGACCATCTTGAGCTACTGGAGGATTCATAAAAAAATGATCTAAATCTGAAGCTGATTTAAACGATCGGGTAGAAACAAAAGCCAGAAGCTGTAAAGTATTGCCAAAATTCTCACCTTCTTCCTTTTCATGTTTGGATGGCTCGTTGGCGGCCTGATCGTCCATTCCAGGTTCCACAAAAGCCCCAGTCGATTCTAGACCCGCGTCTGATTTTATTGGGCTCACTTTTCCATCGTCAGATTGGTCCAAAGAAGGTCCGACCTCAATGGCCTGTTGTTCTGACTGTTCCAAAGTCTGTCCTCCGGTTGCTACTAATGAGAAAACTAGGATGGGCATGAGGAAACTTGGCCAAATTCTAATAAATATAAATAGTTTTCACGTAGTGTGGGTTTTGATTTGAATTTAACTAAAAGGCGTAAAAAACGAAAGAAAGAAGATAAACTCATTCAAAACGTTGGATAAAAGGCCTACAATGGTGAACCCGAAGTTTAGCACGTTTTGATGGACATAAATTCGTTCCCTGCAAAGCAGTAATAAACACCTCTACTGAGCCAATTCCAATTTGCGAAATTAACATAAGAATGGAAGAATGATCGAAGAATCACCAAATCCATTGATAAAGAAGTAAATTATTCCCAATCGACTGGGAATTTCGGCTTCAGAGGACACTGTCCAAGTGTTCAAGAACAAAAGGGGACAAATAATTTACTCCCCACCTGACTATTTCGGTATCAGAAATGGTAGAAAAGATTAACTCGTGCATGCATGTTTCGTTATATCTTACACACGTGACTGTGGCTACAAGAACTGCCCCAGCCTAACTCAGACAACCAAGAAGGTAAGTCCGTCAGAGTGGAACTCTGGCTATCAATAGTCAAAGTAAATGATGGCGCCTAAACACTAATTCCACGCAGGATTGTCCATCTAGGCAAAACTCAGCAGTATCAAGATGTACAGGAAATTACGCACTGTTCCAAGAACAGAGACTTCTGTGACAGCAAAATGAAAACTTTCTCTGAGGCCGCAGATATCCCAGCAACATTGTTTGTTGAAAAGTAATGGCCTGGCAGGTTTTCGTTCAGCTTACCAATGCTACAGTGCCACTTCCTATTATAATGCAGCAATCGACCAATGCCTCGTCTGAGGGCGAATGCTAATGTTCAGCAAGCATGGATACTATATTTTTATGCTAGTTAAAACACAAAGACCAAAACTGATTTCTCAGTAAGAACTCGAATCTTTTCGCATTCAGGCAAATTTAGTACAACTTCGAAGAGGAACATTTCATTATAGGTGGCACCAATCCATTTGATGCGCAAAACAATATGCTAGGATAGAGCGCCAGTTCGAACAGCATATGAAATCACCTGGTCTCTTTAAAAAAAGAAAAACAGAAATCAATACCGTAAACTGAGCCGACACGCAGAGAAACTAATTGAACTGGTCCCACTAAAAGAATAGTGAATCTGGTAACATAAATGTCAAAACCATTTCAGTAGTTATTAACCCTCCAGTAGATCAGCACCCTTAATGGCATGGTTGGGTGGTGTTGACGCTGTACAATAAAGGAACGCTCTTGAATACGATTTCGTTTCGCATTTGTCGTGAGGACAATAAAACGATTGAACCTTGGCAGAATGACCAAAAACGTATTTCAAAATCATCTGGCTAACGTGTTTCTTTAGATCTGGATCCAACCTCAAGACGAAGGGAACGTATTGACTGCCAGAACAGTATGCTTCAAAGAGTTAAATTCCCCTTGTTTTAAACCCTTGGAGATCATAATGATCTAGAGCCGATAACGTAGAAAACAAGCAACGCATGAGGAACAGTTATGGGTTAATAAGT